TATAATACAATGTAGATCAATGTTTGTCAACATCTCGCGAGATCAACATCAACATATCTAGTGTTATATCCCTTTCTCAGTGCATCTATGCATGTAATTATGGTTTGCTCGCGTGAACAAAGAGTACATAAAACAGTGTGCATGAATTTAAAAATAGCTGTCAGCATTGGTGAGGAGAACTCACCATCAGCAACAGCACTTTGAGTAAGAATCAAGCTTCTTATATGGTTACCATGGAAACCATACATACATATATCTCTCAACATCCAAGGACATCAACTGATCTCTCAGTCAGTATTTGCGAAAATTACCCCTTGTGAATTGTAATGATACTGACAGAAAATCATTCCAGGGTTAAGTGATTTTATACGCCAGCAGAAAAAATTCTCTGATCTTCGTTTCATGGAAATCAGGTTTTCAGTCAGGCTTTTTGTCAGAGTTTTATTTATTTGAATAAGGAAATTGTAATTAAAAAATAACCATTCGTAAATCTGAACAATCAAAATCATTATCGAAAGAAGAGATTTTTACAAAGTACATACTGTAATACCAAACATATGCAAAATTAAGAAATACACAAAGAGTGTAATGTTATGTTTTATGCCGTGTTAGACTTAGGAATATTTTATTTTACTCAGTCCATGCATGGAGCTCTTTATTTGATTCCATGACTTCTCCATGTTTTTTTTTTCTTTGGAAAAACAACAATAATTATACAAACACATCATAAAGAACCAACAATCAGGAAAAGAAACCCAGAAATTACACCGATGTACTTTGCAAATCAGGCAATCATATCGTTTCAACGTTTGTGGAAACCAGAATGGAATAGGTACGTGTATACAATAGCTATATGGCTGAGACATCATGTTCATTAGTGACGTCTTTATCTTGACCTTGATTGGCTATTGTATGGTGAAGACATCAATATATTCATGTACTGAGCTACACTCGCTAGACTAGACCTTGAATGGAAACTTAAATAGACAGAATTCATGCACATGCATTGAAACTGGTTACTCGTTGAAATTTTGCATAATTTGCTATACCTAAAGACAGACACACAGACAGCACCACAACATGAGCTCCCCCAAGTGAACAAGAAAGATTGGTATTACCTTCAGGTAGAGACAGGATATAATCTTTCATCATAACTTGTACTCTTTCCCTGTACAGATGTATAAGTTTATTGTGAAACTCAGGGTTGTCCTCATGGCAGTTCAGTATAATATGTTCTAAGTATGGTACAGCCAGATCCCTGGTGCAAGCATTCTGTTCTAAATATGCTAATACCTTGTCACGTGGAAGACCATCAACTTCTGGTGTGTCTTCGGTAAATATCTGAAAAAAAAGAACAATTACCGGTATTTGTGGTTTTTATGTGTTTAAATTATGATTAGTAAAACATAGGATAATATCAGGTTAAGAGAAAAAAGCTTTTATTAAAATATCAATATCAGGTATACTTCTACAGCAATAGGTTACAAAATATAATATTTAGTTTTTTCATGATACAAACATAATTATCGTATCCAGTGGCAATTTTACCTGGCTGATGCATAGCTCTAGAGGGCGCTATATCAAGTCTCAGATCAGAATAAATTAACAACTGTCATACTAAACAACCGTCCCAAAAGACAAGTTCATTATTAATCATAATTCATTTTCATTTTCCAATGAAAATGCCACCTGATATGCTTTAATTTGTTACCTTCATTTTATTAGTATTACCGGTAGTTTATCCTAACTTGTCTTTATTGCTATTAATGAGTGATTCTGTATTTCTAGGATGCAATTAAGTAATTATTACTACATGTATTATTGTAAGGTCTCATACTCTCATAATTATATATATATTATAAATATATATTCTTGAATCCTGAGTAATATTTTGATGAATAAAATACTGTAAAATACTTTATTTTTGCTTAGAATTAATTTTTTGCTGTTTTTGCAGAAGGAATGATTCAGTGAAAATAAAATCAAGCAAATATACCTTTTTACATTCTACTCACCAAAAATCTGTGAAAATAAATTCTAGAAACAAAACACCTAATAAATCTTTCCAGCAAGAATTAATTCCAGCTAAAATAAAGTATTTTACAATAGTATAAAGTAGTAGAAATTAATAATAATTACTTGGAGAGAAAAGCCTTATGAGTGTATGTATACCACAGTATCCTAAATGACCTGATGTCACCCTGACGTGTCATCTGCACAATCAAGTGAGAAAACGGTAATACACAGTCTGGGCTGATTAACATAATTTATGCAATACAGCATAATTACTACAAACCATTTTCATCATTAAATTTTCACTATTTCACCAGAAAAATTTGTGTGTAAGTTGCGTATCTCAAAGCAGCACTGTCATCTAAACAGCGCATGTGTATAGGCAAGGCTCACATATAGGCAAGGCTCACATATAGGCAAGGCTCACATATAGGCAAGGCATGTGTATAGGCAAGGCTCACATATAGGCAAGGCATGTGTATAGGCAAGGCTCACATATAGGCAAGGCTCACATATAGGCAAGGCATGTGTATAGGCAAGGCTCACATATAGGCAAGGCTCACATATAGGCAAGGTATATGTATAGGCAAAGCTCACATATAGGCAAGGCTCACATACAGACAAGGCTCACATATAGGCAAGGCATGTGTATAGGCTAGGCTCACATATAGGCAAGGTATGTGTATAGGCAAGGCTCACATATAGGCAAGGCTCACATACAGGCAAGGCTCACATATAGGCAAGGCATGTGTATAGGCAAGGCTCACATATAGGCAAGGCTCACATATAGGCAAGGCTCACATATAGGCAAGGTATGTGTATAGGCAAGGCTCACATATAGGCAAGGCATTGTATAGGCAAGGCTCACATATAGGCAAGGCTCACATACAGGCAAGGCTCACATATAGGCAAGGCATGTGTATAGGCAAGGCTCACATATAGGCAAGGCTCACATACAGGCAAGGCTCACATATAGGCAAGGCATGTGTATAGGCAAGGCTCACATATAGGCAAGGCTCACATATAGGCAAGGCTCACATATAGGCAAGGTATGTGTATAGACAAGGCTCACATATAGGCAAGGCATTGTATAGGCAAGGCTCACATATAGGCAAGGCTCACATACAGGCAAGGCTCACATATAGGCAAGGCATGTGTATAGGCAAGGCTCACATATAGGCAAGGCAT